ACACCACACCCGTGACGGGTTTCTGTCCTCTTTTACAATTTCTCCATTTTTCACTGTTCATGCTCTTTCTGTTGCCATAGTTCATCTCCAAGCAACCAGCCGGGTTGTGGAACCAGTCCGCCAATGAGAAAAAACCTCCTCCTCCTTTGCATTTTATCCAGTTGAATGCCCTTAGTTGAACAAGCTCCACAATCCTATCTCTATCTGCACCTTTCCCTCTAAATACTTTTTCATTTCTAGCTAACCAAATTGACCATACAATAGAGACCCAGATGCACGCCCACCCCTTCTTTTCCCCTTTAGTTTTAATCAAATTTGGATGTTGTTCCAGCACCTTACCGCAGTCCCTATCCATTGCAGTTTTTACTCCCCACCATTTAAAACAAGCATTCCATATGCTATAAGCTACTTTGCAATGGATGAACAAATGGCTGGTATCCTCCAATGCAACTCCACAAAAGACACATTTGCATTCTCCAATATCTCGTATGATCCCCCTTTTTAACATATTGAGTTTTGTTGGTATTTTGTCTTGCAACACTTGCCATGAGAAAGCCGCTATCTTGCTGGGGATAAACACATTCCAGGCTTTGTAAAGCACTGCTCCTTGCTGATTTGAACTATTCTCTTTTGTCAGAATTTGGTAAGCTGTCCTCGTTGTGTATCTCCCCTCGTTGTTGTGGACCCACTCCCTCAAGTCTGGTTTTCCTCTTGTGATTTTAATTTCTTGGATCTCCCTTCGCAGCTCTTCCTCCTGTTGCTTTTCCCAACTATGCAAGCACCTCCTCCACTGTAAGTTCCACTTCCAAGCTCCATTGATCCAATTCCCCATTTGTGAAATTTGATTATTTCTTCTTGTTGACAATGAATAAAGCCTCGGGTATTTGTTAGCAAAACTCTCCCCCTCCTTCCAGTTGTCCCCCCAGAATTTTACATCTACTCCTTCACCCACATTCAGTTTCAATCCTTCTACTAGCCACCCCCTATTCTCCTCATCAATAACATTAAGCCCGCATATATCCTTCCACCATATTGACCCCCTGCTATTGCCATCTCTTACCCAGTTAAATCTAGACTCTCCCTCCTTCCCATATTTTT